ATGGATTGTTCTTGGGAAAGAATTAATCTCAGCTACACTTAGATGTAGGCAGCCAGATGTAGTCAACCATCTCTCATTCCATGTAACCAGCAGAGTGGAAGGGACACTTCTAGGGTGTGATTTGACTTTGTTGAGTTCTGTGCTTGAGGAAGAGATTAATTTTGCACTGATTTCCATGGAGTGGATCAATCAATTTTACAATGATGATATAAAGAGCCTGGCTGACTCACACAGATAGATGTAGATGCCTTTTCTTGATCTGGTGAATCCCACCCAGAAAGCTTGAGCTGGCCCTCCTGGCAGACTGCAGGCCAGGAGAAACTGTGCCAGAACAAAAAAAGGATGACTGCAAATTCCCACGGCCAGATCAAAGGGAAGGACTGGGCTGAAAGGCTGAGCATGCATCACCTCTAATCACGGCCCTATAAAAACACTACCCAGAGCTGGACGGCTGTGCATGACAGCTGACAAGGCTGTGGCAGACAGTTTGACCAGACCTACCGCCCAGGCATGGCTTCCTCTCAGGAAAGCTGCAGAGATGTGTGGGTGGTGTCTACTGCTATTTTCTCCTCTCTCAGCACATGCCACCATGGAGTTGAAGGGAAAGGCAAGCCATCATTTACCCAACCACAAGGTATCACTGAAAATGAATGGAACAAATTTAGGCTATATTTAGATTGAAGATGGTTGGGGTTTTGTTTTCCCTCCTCTCTCTCTCAGTGTGGTATGGAACACTCAAGACCAATACCATCTCCATGTAGTAAGAGGAAAGGTGCAGCTATCCATGATGACAGCAGGACTCTAGGCTGAAGGGTTCCAGAGGACTGGCTGTAAAAATGAGGTCAGGCAAGCAGCAGACAAAGGAGTCCCAGTGCTTGCACCTACATATAGTGGCTCCATACCCATACTTCTCCAGATCTACTGCATTAGGCTTCCAAGGGAACGAAAGCCCCCAGCAGCAATTCTGATGCCCAGACCCACCCCAATGCACAGGCAATTACCCAGCTTCCCAACAGCATCACTCCACATTTTGTTGAACTCAGTCAGCAGAGCATCCTTCATCACCCAAAGCTGCAGAGCGTACTTACAGACTTAATGTGACTTTGCTTTCCCAGATAGGCTTTACATTCTCCAGTTCCTTGGGTTAACTAGTATAATTTCCCTTGGGGTTTTATTTGTTTGTTTGCTTTCAAAATGCTGACACTTCAGAAGATTTAAGTTTACCCTGGCATTTTTTTTTTTCTGTTGGCCAATGTGGTTTCAACTCAAGGACATTCCTATGAATGCCAAGGACCCACAACACTAAGGCTTACGATGCTGTTACTTGGTACAAATCCATGTGAGACAGAGCTGCTGACTGCTAATCACTTTCCTCTTGTCCCCTGCCCCGATGTGTGGGCTGTGTTGTATATTCCTTGTAGATACCAGGCATCTTAATTAAATCCTTTTCCCACCAAATGTAATGCCAGCTTCCATGAAGTTTTAGCAATCTTGTCTTAATTACCTGGTTACCCATGGCACAAACGTGACTGTCCTCTCTGCGTAAGGATGGCATTAAGCTATTTTTGTCCCAGAGAGACCAGGAAAGACATACGCATCCTTTTGTGCTTTGAACGTCATTCACAGCTTCTTATCTCAGGCACTTTATTTGTGAACCCATAGTATCTCAATCAAACCCATAATTCTACGCATGCTGAGTCGGTCATAGCTAAGCCTGAAAGAAGTCCTATTAATAAAACTGTCACTAACTAGCATCCAGGAGGTTATATGGGGAGAAATATTTATGCAAAGCAAGAAGGGAGCCCCTCCAGAAAAAAAATAATCTCATTTTCTTTTTGTTTCATAGTATTCTGAAGAATACTAATACAAACATCAAGGTTTTTCACTTAGCTGTGACAGAACTAGTTCTAGAGAAGGAAAAGGATCTTTTCTATTTTGCTCTTAGGGGACAATTTAGGAAGCAGACATGCAGCAGATGGAAAGGAGCCCAAAATGCCATAAAGATCAGTGTAACTGCGTTGAGATTGCATTGTATTTCACAAACATGTTTTCTTTTTTCCACTAAGTCCTTTTAAAATCTAATAATAGTCATCATCTCCATTGTCCTTTCTCCTGTCCCTTTCTGCGTAGAGCAATTAGGCTGTACACAAACTCCTCCACTGCCCATGGGCAAACCTTGGCACACAGTCAAGTCTCATTCCTTGACTATTTGTAGTCATTCCTGAGTTCTCATCATCTCTGGCTTCTGAAATTCTTATGGTACATCTACATTTAGTTCCCAGGGTTGTGCTAAGGATGAGTCAGGAGGAACTGCACAGTATGGACACTAGACTAGAACATGAGCTGAGTTCAAATTGACTGGAAATGAGAGTTGGTTGGCTTTTAGTTTGGCCATTTAGATCTGTGGGGCTTTTTTCTGTTTGTTTGCATTAATGGCAGAAAACATATTGTTTCAGAGTCTGAAAACAGAATTGTTGACCTTTTACTGATAATGAAAGATAGAAACAGACAATTATTTGTAACTCAGTAAGTTTTCTTTAACAAGAAAAAAAAAAAGAAAAATATAGTATATGCTTTATATCAGAAAAATGGGGAAAAACCTTAAACAAGATCATGGAGAAGATGCTGCCACATAAAGAAAAACAAAAACATTTTGTTTCCAGCACAAATCCTTACCTAATGGAAAATGGTCACCTTGAATGTTTTGTTTATCTGGATCTCCTAAGAGTTGAATAACAATATGTCACCACTTCTGCCATTATACCTTCAGCAGACTTTATGGTTTCAAGGTAATTGATGAGTTTTGCAGCCATACTGAGAAGTGGATTTGGGGAACCCATGAGGTTTCTCTGTGAGGAATGAATTAGAAGAAGACTCTGAACTTCAGTATTTCAGATTATATCTGCTCTGCCATAGCATGGTAATCTGAATCCCTTCTAGGTGAGGAAACTGCACCCCAATAGTTCTACAAGGCATGGATTCAGGAAAAGTGTCCAGGTATACAGTGACTCAAAGCAGCCTTCCCTTTGGCACTGATACTCAGTGATTGCTTATCTTCCCTTGCTCCCTTGTTTTTCATTCAGGAGTTGAAAAGCAGAGCAGGAAGGGAGGGGAGGGGAGGGGAGGGGAGGGGAGGGGAGGGGAAAGGAGAGGAGAGGAGAGGAGAGGAGAGGAGAGGAGAGGAGAGGAGAGGAGAGGAGAGGAGAGGAGAGGAGAGGAGAGGAGAGGAGAGGAGAGGAGAGGAGAGGAGAGGAGAGGAGAGGAGAGGAGAGGAGGAGAAGAATAATGTCCCAAATTGGAAGAGACCCATAAAGATCAGTGAGTCCAAATGTGGCAAAGTAGCAGTGCATTTTTCAATTACTGTGCTTTTCCAATTCTGGCAGTAGCCTATAAATCAATAGCTCTCTTTTTTCGAATGGGGAATGCTTTGCCACAGTTTTCCAGAGCACAAGGAGAAATTCCAGAGCTTTGTCAAGAGAGTGAAACAGCTGTTCTGAAGAATGGAGACAACTTCTGGCAAAAGCATCACCAGAAATATAAAATATTTTGTAAACTGACTGTTCTGCCTGTAGCTTGATAGTTTTAGATTCTCCAACAATTTACTGATGGCTGGCTTCCCTCCTTCTCTGCAGCCCCCCTTCACCAGCCTCAACAGCAGATGTTTGTTCAGATGTTTATAACTGTGGAAGAAATTATAAAACCTCAAAAATACACTCTGTTAAATCCTGGAGGGGAGCCTTGGGTGTAAAGATGAGACATCGCCTGTACTGTCTGCTCTTGGGTTGAGACAGCAGCCCATGAGTTGGGCGTCTGATGGGGAAGAGAAGATCCCCAAGAATGTGGACATCACTGAAACATTTCCTGGAGCTCCAGACCTTCAAACCTTCTGGCAGTGAGAGAAAAGCTCATCTCCCAACCCAACATGCATGGAGACTGATGGAGTCCACCATCCCACATTGAAGTGAGGGTCAGCACGGCATTTGTGCCCCTTGCAGTCATATCATAGTAAGATGAAAGGCCTCAAATAGGGCAGAGAGAAGCAGTCAGCAGATGATACATTTGGTGGATATGACGTGCTGGCAAAAAGTCCAGGAAGAGTGAAAAACTTCTGTATTTAATTTTGTAAATACCTTTAGTAAGAAAAAAATCAGTATTATTATCATTGCCATTATTGTAGCTTTTACTATTTCAACTTAAAGCCTTGCTCTTTGATTTTCATTTTCAAATCAAATATTCTTCTCTTGTAAATGCTGGCAGGTGTTTTCTTATTCTTTTTTAATTCAAGAATTTTTATATTGAAGTGGCATATTTCATTCAAAATTGACTTAAAGAATCTCACTCCTCCACACTAGATTACTCTAAACTCTACCAAAGCAATTCCTTTCAAACTGAACAAACCCATTTCAGGTTGCCAAATAAGAATTTTTGTGGTTTTCTTGTGTCCCTGAAACCTCCTCCTGAAAATCCAAGCTGTTTTCTTCTTATATTTTAATTCCCCCACCAAGCCTGAAAACAACTACTCTTTTCTGGACTAATTTTCTTCTCAGATGACATGGTTGTGTAACCCTCTGGGCTGCTGATTGACATGCCAGTCATGCTTATGGTGAATGAGACCATGTGAGGCATTCACTTGGCCTCACTGACATGAGCTTGATGGGTCTCAGGCAAGATGTAGCAGAAAGGCACCTAAGGCAACGTCTGGATGCACCGGAGTCAGTTTTGGATGTGGTAGCTGAAACTCTTGCTCTTACTCAGCAAGGTACCCCTGGAAACAAAATTCTTTGAGCAAAGTACCTTCACCAACAGCGGTGTCCACCACAACCATCTGCCATGTTTTTCTTCCTCTGAGATACAGTCTGACAAGATTTTGCAGCCCGATGGTGCATTCAGAAAACCTTTTGTTTCTTGAGTAGAAAATGTTAAGGTTTCCCCAGATGTAGCCTGAAACCACCCACACAAATGCTCCAGAGCATAGGGCAACACACGATGCAAAGTCACTGGACATCAAGGTGTTTATTTTTTTCCCCATCGTTGGCAATGTAGTCATCACCACCCCCAAACCTTTCCAGGGTTGGGATGGCACCAACCTCCAGCCCCTAGAAATGCACTCCATCTCCATGCAGTTGCAGCTCCTGTAAAGCCAAACAACAGCTGGAGTCCATTCAAATGTCACAACCCTTCACCTTGCAACTGTCCAGAGACAACAAAGAACAGGGCTAAGCCACCTCTGCCAGAGGGTCACTGTGATAACACGCTGGCAATGGGGAGAGCTCGGCTTTTGTTTCTCAAATCTGGCAGGAGTGGTGCACATAATGCTCCCAAAGCAACCACATTGTAAGTCAGACCCACATTCAAATGGGCCCAAACTTGCCTTTAGCAAATCAATGAGCACAATCTAATCCATCATTACGATCCACTTGGCTTCAGGCTTGGAGTGGAGGGAGGCTGGTTTTCTTTTTCTTTTCTTCTTGCAATTATTTTCCTAAGGAGGATGTTATTCATTGTGAGCTGAAATAATAATAATAATAATAGTGCTCTGATCTTGCAGTGCAACCACAGCTGTACTGGGTGTTCCTGCCTGTCTCCAACACTGCCAGTGAGATCAAGACCCAAAAGCCAAGCTCCAGCTGGGGGCTGGTCAATAGGATGGAAATACTGAATCCTGCCCTTCCATCAAATCCTGATTGAAAGAAAAAAAGGAATAAGGACAAATCTTTTCCCTCTCCCTCTCACCATAAGTTGTTATCCTTTCAATTCACTACAGTCTGCTGGGTTTCTTTACTTGATTTAGAGGCTTATTAGTCTATGCAGAAAGAAGTAAAATGTGAACTTTCTGACAACTATGATTGGAGCTGATGCTTTAAGAATTTTGTTTTCCTTATTTCTCGGTCCACTTGTAACAGCGTCAAGGTCCAAAACTTGATCACAATTAGCAAGTGCTTTGAACTATGACTGTTTTCTTGAGGCTTTGCATCAAGTTTCACTCAAAACTCATGAGATCTGCGTACATCACTCCCAAATGCCCTTTCAGACTCATTAAAGTCAACCCCTGCCTGCTGTCCTCCGTACGCAATGACGTTGGAAGCAGGCTGAAGCAAGAGGCAGTGTTTGTAAAGAGCTGTCACCAAGCAGCTCGGCACGCGATGACAGTCCATCTCCAGATAGAGGGGGTGAGCTTGGGGCAGTTTATTTTTGCAATCCTTACATCAAAGAGAACGAACGTTTTTTGCCCCATGTTGGTGTACCTATAAGTCAACAGCAGCCACAGGTTGTGAAAAGCTCTTTTCCCTACTGACATTTTTTCTCTCTTTTTTTTTTTTCTTTTCTTTTTTTTTTTTCTTCCAAGTATTCAGTGGTTATAGTCAGGCTGCTCTTAACCATAGCTGGGTTCTCTTTGAGCCTTTTTTTAATCTCCGTGCTCCCCGCTGTTGTTTTGTTAAGGGTGGGTGGTTCATTAACTGGTTTGTTTTTCTAAGGCTGTTTGCAGGAGCGGACTTCTCGCTGATCTTTCAGCCGTGTCTGCCCAGCAGTGGAGATGTTCTGTCACTTCCCAGAAAACGCAATCGATGGATTGCTGCCGTTTCTATTCTGGGCTTTGGATGCACGCTTTGGTTTGCTGCAGCAGAGCTGCTTTCACAAAGTTGAAGTGGGTCTCAAAGTTCAGATCTGGGGAAGGGGCAGTGGCCACCAAATTGGCCAACCAAGCATCTCACGTGGGTACAGCATGTGTGTAAGCCTTCTGATAAAGAATTGCACAGGAGCATACGTGGGTGTAAATACTGGCTCTTCCACACCAATGTTTGCATACATGTGCTTGTTCGTTTATCTGTACATGTGAATATACACAGGGGCATCTACACACACTAATCTCTCCTATGTCAACGCACACATTCCATGTATATTTGTATGTATATATAAACATATAGACTATATATGCATAGTATGTGTGTATGCATATATAACTATATATATCACAGAGAATGTACAATTCACTTTCACAACCGTACACACACATTAACCCCAAAGCCAGCCAGACAAACTAGAAGTGAGAGTTGATAATTTCTAAGGGACCACCATAAATCTGCACTGATTCTTTTAAATCCAGAGGTGAGAATCTCCCTTGCCGAGTTCTGTTTCGGTTGTGCTTAAAAAGAACCATGCTCAAGCTCTCAACTGGTGGAAGCCAACAGAAATCTTCCACAAAGTAGAACCCAACCATTGATTTGGGATAAATCAGTGTGGAGGGTATGTCTTGCTGGAGGGGACTATGCTGATTGACCCCACTGGGAATCAGCCCATAATGGGAACAGCACTCACAAGCAAAAGCCACTAACCCTCTCCCAAGCCCTGTTATTAGTGGCAATAAAGCCCCATTCCCAGCTATAGCAGGGGTTCTGGGAAGCAGCTATCTCATCAAAGGGAGCTGGGCTGGAAACTGACCGCATACCCTCAGCACAGCATGATGCTTTCAGTTCAAATTTAGTTGAGTCTCTCTTCTCTGGGTCTGCTTTTTTAGGATTCAGACTGCAGATAGGATGGGGGAAGGAACAATGCCATATAAGATGAATGCATATAGTGAGATGTGAAATTAAATGCAAGAAGGAAATTTTCTTGGAAAAAAAAAAATCAAATTTAGAGATTATATTGGCATCACCCCTCTACTAATATTATATCCATTTTCTTTCCCATATTTCTTTCCACTTCTTTAAACTGCCAGCATATGATAATTTTATACATATAGATTTATAATGAAATACTGTTAGGAAATATGCTTTGAAATTGCTTTGTTATTCCTGTTTTTATTAATACCTGAGCTTTAACCAATCCTTTTGCCACTTGGAAACCTTACAACTTAGTCTAAGCAAACAAGTTAATCCATGGGCTGGGGAAGGAAAGAGGAAGGATGTGGAGGAGCTCACTGCGAGTCTAACACCAGAAAGCTCCGTAGTTTGAAGCCATTCAGAACCACTACAGCTTCAGGAGGGGCTGGAATGCTTTGGGACACAATCTGCCAGTGTGTGTGCAGTGTGTTGGCAGGTCTCTCCAGCTGAAGCCCTATGCATGGAGGAGCAGCATTTCTCATTCTTCTGATTTTGGTGCAGAGTTAACTGGTTCCCCCTACTTTGGGCCAGTCCAGATCAGGTACCCAACACATACCCCTGCCTGAGAATCGGTGTATCATAGAATCACAGAATCGTCAAGGTTGGAAAAGACCACTAAGGTCACCACGTCCAACCCCAGCCCACACCACCATGACCTCTTACAACGTCCCTCAGTGCCACATCTCCATGGCTCTGAAACACCTCCAGGAATGGTGACCCCAGCACCTCCCAGGACAGCCTGTACCAATGCATTACCGCTCTTTCTGAGAAGAAATATTTCTGAATAGCAAACTGGAACCTCCTCTGAGATTCGCTCTGCCTCATTCTACTGCCATGGGGAAGTGCTTTGTAGTAGCTTATAGGTATTTATATCAGCTTCACTCTTCTAACACCTTCAAATCCTTCACAGAAGTCCAGCTTGGAGCTATAATTATCACTATCTGCATGTTGTTGCTGGAGAATGCAAGCTCTTCACTCAAAGTGACTGCTCCCAAGGTCACCTCTGCAACCTACACAGCAAAGCCAAAGGGCTGTCTCATTTGGAAAGCTGCACTTTAGCCACCCACATCACAGTGTGTGTGGCTGAGGCTCATCTGTAGGCACCTCTGGAGATGCACTGCCCTCGGTCAGCATGGTGACACTTGGTGACACTTTGGGAACTGTGTGGTCACCACATGCCCCTGAGAAGGGATGGGGTGTGTGACCAAGAGCAAAGCAGCAAATTGTCACCCCAGCACTTAGTCATGTCCCCAGCCCAGCTCATGACATGTATGGCACTACTCCCAGCAGGGAACATACAGTAATGATGTTTTCCATCCTCTCAGCACCAGGGCAAAGTCCACCAGGACACGACTTTCCAAATGCTGACATCTTTGCAAAAATTCCTAACCCGAAGCTTCTGTTTCTATTAGGAGCCACTCTCCTCCCTTCTCCAAGTCAGGATTTAACTAGTTTATGAGAGAAAGAAATAATTTCTCTCTACAGTCCAGCTTTCCAGCAACTTGGGAAAAGTTAGCACTTTGGCCAGGGCCTTCTGCATGCTCTGAGCTGTGCATTTAATTTAAATTTAATAGTTATTGCACGTTACACAAATGGCGATTAAAACCATATTGATTGAGGTTTAGCAGCTATGCGAGAAATGCAGATCTTATTACAGAGCTGCTCCTTATCCAGACTGTGCTGTTAATAACACATCCAGGGGCAGACTGGAGAGGAAAAGGAGCACAGAGCAGAAGGCTGGGAGGCACGGTCAGGAGGGAAAACAGTCAGGCTGTGGAATCGGGTGGCCACTACTCTGTTCCCAACATAGGCCAACACACCTGTAGCACGAGATCTGCACAGCTATAGACATGCAAACAAGCCAATAGGGACCTCACCTACACCACATGCTGGAGAAGCAGGCAAGCAAACTGGCTGAGATCTCAGATCATAAATTTCTGTGGCAGGATATATTGCCGTGAGGGCTTTCTAGGTCAGGACCTGCTGCAGAGACACTTGAAAAACCCAGAAACTGTCCAAAAAAGGGCTGATTTATTATTCTCTCAACCCATCTTTTCAAGAAACTGCAAAGTTCATTCGGTGGCAAAGCAGAAATCAATAAGCCTCGTGTCCTAGATGGTCTGAGATAATGACTGCAAAGAGAAAACGAACCAGAAAAATAATAGCTGCATCCCAACAGCCATGTTGAGGTCAGTTTGAATCCTTTCCAACCAGTGCTCCACTTTGCACAACTCCGAGGGCCATTTGCATGCCTTGCACAGATGTGAAAACCAGAGTGGGAAATAATGCAGAGAGATGAGGGCAAACAAACAAATGATGTGAAGCATGCAGGGGCACAGGGGGAAATGCAGAGTGAGGTGGGGAAAACAATCTCTATGCGTGCTTATTTAAATTTGACTTTAAATTTAAGACTCACTACAAAGACCATCTCCATCCCATGAGCGACCCAGCAAAGCCACGTGCAGAAAATTCATTTGCAGTCCATACAGAGGCTGCACATTTTGCTGCTCCACCTGAAGATTCAGCCTTGCCACAACACTGAGTTATTTCAAATATTGAAAAAAGAAGAAGAAAAAAAAAGCTTATGAAGTTTAACACGTTTTCATCTGGACGTCCCTCAGCCCAGGCTGAGCTGTTTACATGTTGGGCTTTGCACATCCCTGTGCCACAGGCATCAGACACTGCAGAAAGGTTATTGCTTGGCAGCTGCACAACAAAGACTTGGAAGAGGAAACCAACCAGAAAATCATGCTACTATATATTTTAGAGTGCCACTGAGCAATTTCCTGATTTTGGGGGGAAAAAGTCTTTTTCATGATGAACAAAAACAGGTTTGGGTTTTTTGTTTTACTTGATGACAGTTTTAGTTGGAAATGGAAGAGAAAGATTATCCCAGATTGGTCAAAATGTTCCCTTTTGCCCAAACTGTAGTAATTTCAATCATTGAAGATCTCTGAGTATTTTTTTTTTGCATAGAAGAATGAGAGAACTCTCCAAAATCAGAAGCTGTTTCAGAAGCTGAAGCTGGTAATTTTCATTATCCTTTTCATATTTTTTGAAAACCCTTTGCAAAAATCTCTGTGTGCTTGCAAAACACTCCGGTGCCACCAAGCTGCACTTGCCAAATCTCCTAGAGAAGCATTTTTATGAGAAACATCACCCAGCTCTGAGAACAAGACAGATACACAGAGATAGCCAGACTTTTGCTGGCCCAGAAAATTCATCTGGAAAGCACTTTCAATTTCCAAAGCTGTTCGGTTTTGGCCCTGAGAATGAGTGGAATATACTACAAAGAATCCCTTTTGCTGTGTTTGAGTGCATGTTTGCTCAACATCTTTCTATTTCTACCCCATTCTAGCTTGAGACAGCATTGTGCTAGCAGCTGGTGGGGAACGTCTCCTTTTTGCAGTCTGATCAACCAAAAGAGACTAACTGTGATAATCATCCTCTGTTTCATTCCACAGGAGTCAAGGCAAAAGCAGATACTGGATGAACAAACCATAGTCATAGAATCATAGAATCATTAAGGTCATTTACGTGGTCATTTAAGACCACTACGATCATCTGGTCCTACCATCAACCCAACCCTAAACCCATCACATGGGTCAGCCATGGTCTCCAGAATAAACAAGAAGGTCAACCAAGTCTCTCTCCTCAAAACCACCATCCCTCAGCATTTGTTGTCTCTTTCTCCACCTGATCCAATTCCCTTATCTTTGTCTTCCCACTGTATACCATTGCACAGTCCTGCATCCTCACCTATATTTCCCCTTTGGAAATGTGTTCCCAGTCCCAGCAACTGGAATCATCCCACACCCCGCATCCAATGTCACATTTCACCAGGTCAGGGCCATAAATTGTTTCCTAACCTTGAAATACCCTTTACCCTTTCAGACACTGATGCACTTCTTCAGAACAAGCTGCCAAATTCACGTCAACCCAGACCAGCTGCTCCAAAGGGAAGGACAAGAGGGAGAAAGGTGCTCTCTCTGCTATTAAAAACTGCCTCACAGCAGCCAGCCTGGCTGAGCATGTCCCATGCTTTCATAGTGACACCGACTGTGATAAATAAAGAGAACAAGAGAGCAGAGCTGTCTTTAGAAGTGTGCTATGGCAGCATGACATTCTAGCTATGCTTACCCCTTGGATCCATCCAGGAGTGCTTAAGCAATTTGCTAATGGAACATTATAAATATGAACATTATAAGTAGATTTTGTAGAATCATAGAATCGTTCAGATTGGAAAAGCCCTCTCAGGTCACCAAGTCCAACCCCAAGCCACCCCCACCATGCCCACTGACCACGTCCCTCAGTGCCACATCTCCACATTCCTTGAACACCTCCAGGGATGATGACTCCACCATGTCCCTGGCAGCCTATGCCAAAGCACTCTTTCTGGAAAGAAAAAAAAAAAGATTAAAAAAAAAAATATCTCTAATATCCAACACCAAAGCAGGGCACCTTTGCCACCAATTCTTGAGAAAAAACCTTTGGTAGCTGCAACCAACAGAGCCTCACAGCTGAAGTTCAGGAAAAGGGACAAACATTGTGCTGACAGCCCTGACAGCATCCTTTGGTTAAGCTTTATTTCCTTGCATATGATCATGTGTGCAATGTGCAAGATCACACCTTTGAGCTTCCCTCTACATGGCAGGACAGAGTGGGAGAAAGCACCATTTATTAAGGGAATTGCTCTGCCATGGACCTCAGACATCCCAAAATTGGAGAGGAACCCCTCCAGGAGGATGATCCCCTTCCAGCTCCCAATTGAAGGAACTGCTGCCCAACGTAAGCTGCAATCCTCAGCTCAGATCTTCCCTAAGAAGGACCACTGAGGTTTGATTCCCCATAGTTTCATAGGGATGGTGAATGGGAAGGATGTGGGATTTTCTTTCAGACATGATAAAAATAGCTCAAATTTGTGATCCTGAGGATCTGTTCTCTTTCACAGGCAGTCCAGAGACAAGAATTTGGAGTAGGTCCAACATTTCTTCTAGACTAGTGCCATGGGCACTAACATTCAGCAGCCAATGCCTGTATCATGGAAAAATCCCCAAACTAGTAGAAACTCATATCTTTTGAGCCATACGGTGTTATACACACCACACAGCTTTACTGGCTTGCATCCAGGTACAGCTCAGCTCTGGCAGTGCTCTATTGGTGAGTACTAAATGTTTGCAGTTCTTGTAAGCTGGAGCATGAAAAGAAGCCAGTAGGACTCATCAGCTACAACCAGACCATGGCTTAAGTGTCCCTGCAATTCAACGGGCTCTATTCTCTACCACCACCTTATTTAATCTACCTAAGACTCCTATCTTAGGGTGAAATGAATGAACTTTTGAAAGTACTTGTTTATCTTTACTGGGAGCCTGAAGATACTTGCTGAATCTCATATATCTAACCTGTGAGACACAGCAAGTGAATATTCTCTTCGTCTTCCTCTTCGTCTTCCTCTTCGTCTTCCTCTTCTTCTTCCTCTTCCTCTTCTTCTTCCTCTTCTTCTTCCCCTTTCCCTTCCTTCCTTCCTTCCTTCCTTCCTTCCTTCCTTCCTTCCTTCCTTCCTTCCTTCCTTCCTTCCTTCCTTCCTTCCTTCCTTCCTTCCTTCCTTCCTTCCTTCCTTCCTTCCTTCCTTCCTTCCTTCCTTCCTTCCTTCCTTCCTTCCTTCCTTCCTTCCTTCCTTCCTTCCTTCCTTTTTCTTTCTTTTTCTTTCTTCCCTCCCTCCCTCCCTCCCTTCCCATCTGTCCATCCGTCCATCCGTCCATCCATCCATCCATCCATCTAAAATCTTCCTCTGGAGTTAGAGGAGTTCAATAATCTGCATCTGAAGATACTGTGCCATACCGATGCAATTTTTTGAGCACTGAGAGGCATTTGCAACACACTAAATTAAAAATAAATCATGATAAACTAACTGAAGTTGTCACACCTTGTAGGAGAAACAGCTCACAGCCAGAGTGGCAAGCCACAGGCAAATCCCATAATAACTCAGAAGTAAAAAATTCTTTCTGACTTCCATGAGTTTGCAATAGGGTCTTTTGTCTTTATTAAACTGTCAGTCATTTTTGCCTGGGGCCTCTTCAAGACTTGCTGCTCAAATTTCCCTGTGCTTTCAAGCACAGGAAGAAACCTCTGGAAGTGGAAGAGGCCCAGCATGGACTAAGTTTAGCCTGGCAGGTGACTGCCCACTTCAGAAACTTCCAAACACGTGAGCACAGGAGGGAAATTGCTTTCTAAAAGCGTTTCTACTGACATGCATTGTGGGCCAATAACAACAGTGGTGATGACAATAGGAACATGTAACACCTGTGAGGAGTGAAACCAAGGGGAAACATAGGTTGGAGAGAGAGAAAGATGAGAGGGTGTTGGATGGTTGAATCCATGTGGTGGCCAAGTACAGCTGACTGGAAGTCTGATCTTGGAAGCTCTAGCATATATGTGTAAAAAGCTCCCACTTTGTTCACCAGGAAGACTCGTCCAAATTCTCGCTGAGGCCTTCTAACACCCTGGAAGGTGGTAAAGTGGGCAAAGACCTGCATCTCCATCATCTTACCTAAACACAGCGTTATTTGTTATTTCAAGCTGGATGTGTTGCAGATGCAATGCAAGAGGTAACCAGACAGACTTTCTTCTGAATTAGACATGTTCTTAATAACTGGATGCCTTCACTATGTCTTGGGGGCATCATTTGCTTAGAGACAAGTAGAAATCATCCCACATGTGTTGATTATTAGGAAAAATTTCTGCTCTGAAAGAGTGTTCATGCAGTGACAAAGGTTGCCCTGAGAAGTGGTGGGTTCACCATGCAAGGAGGTGATCAGGAGCTGTGGAGATGGGGCATTGAGGGATGTGGTCGGTGGACATGGTGGGGACAGCTTTGTGTCACATCATCATACTGAGATTTGAATCATATCTGTCCCAAGAAATGACACAGAAAAAGTCAACTCTTTCCTATGCAAGCCTTGTTGCATCATGCTTTCCAAGCATCTGTGTTGCAAAGGATCCTGCACTCCTGCCACCAGCTACAAACTCACCCTCTGCAGAGACCCAAACACCAAAATAAATGTGCACCCCTGAGATCTCACGCTGTTTCCATCACACATCCAGGTAAAATACTTGCCATCACTCATAATTACTCTCAGACATCCTTTACCCCCCATGAATTAAATTTATTTAATAATAACATTTTTAAGTCTTTTTTTTTTCTTCCTCATGCACAGTAATAAAACACAAGTAGCTTCTGCTTTTTAAATTTCTCTCATCTCAAAGCACTTCTCACACGTACGTCCACTGTTAAGTCATAAATTTCTCCCACATTCAAGCTACCCTGAAATACAGTCAGTGCAGTTACTTCAGCCCAAAACAAATTCCTCAGACAACTGTTCTCTCATAATCTCACCTCAGCTTATTGCTGAAGCGGGATGTGTCTGCTTTTTTCCCCTGTGGGAAGCCCTTTCATCTCTTCATGCAGAAAAAGAAGCTTTTATTTTTGAGTGTCCCTGCAGATGTTCTGAAGCCTTCAGGGCTTCTCAAGGAGAACAGGTTTCACAGGGCCTCAAGATCACAGTGCTCCACCAAAATAAGTCCTATTTTTTCCCCAGGCACCAATATCAGTGCATGCTGCTATGATAAGCACATCAAGTACTAGCACAGGAAAATGTGATTATTAGGGATAATTGCATACGGCAAGCCGTGTCCCTTCCAGGTCCCCACAGCTGTCTCTGCATGACCTTTTTGTACCCAGGACATTGGGTACACATCAACCTCTGCTAATTTTAGCAGCTGAAATGTTGGCACCTAAATACCTGCCTCATCCCCTCCTTCATGGATCACCATCTCCATGGGCTGATTCAATCCATCCCAATATAGGCATCAAAGAACAACTCTCCAGAGAACTTTTCTCTGCTGGTTGTCAATGATCTGTTTAGGGTCAACGATCCACTTTCTAATGGTCATTCCCCTTTTCTGTGTCACTGACTTTAGTCTTATCATTTTTCAGGAGAGAAGAATTTATTTCTGGCAATACATCCCCCTTCTGCTAAAAGAGAGCTTTCAGAAGGGAACGAAGAATATATGGAAAGGACCCTTCTTGCTACACAAACTCTCAAGGAAAATCTGTTCTCCAAACTAAATTCAGGGAAACTGAAATACTTTCTTAAAAAAGCCTAAACAAACTCTTCAGAGAAACAAATAGATGAAAGAAAAAAGTACAAAAAGCCCACACCAACCATCCAACCAACTGAACAAATAAAAGCTCTTTTCTCTGAGTTTCTAGCAACATTAAATTGCACACTTCTACTTCACAAATTTTAACTTCACAAATCTACTTCACAAAATTTAACTTTGGGGTCTGATCTTATAGGGCCATTTAAGTATAGAAGTTAAAGTCTTCAAAATAAAGCTCTGGCATATTTCTGCATACTTAAAAGGATGTAACTCACAATTAGGATGATCCCAGTTCAGGCCCTGCTCTTGACCAAGAAGCAGTAAGAAAAGTGGCAGGAAAACTTCACAGAATCACAGAATGGCCAGACTTGGAAGGGACCTCAAGGATCATGAAGCTCCAACCCCACCTGCCACATGCAGGGCCACCAACCTCCCCATTTCATACCAGACCAGGCTGCCCAGGGCCCCATCCAACCTGGCCCTGAACACCTCCAGGGATGGGGCATCCACAGCCTCTCTGGGCAGCTGTTCCAGCACCTCACCACTCTCTCTGTAAAGAATTTCCTCCTGACATCCAACCTAAATCTCCCCTCGATGTGATTGTGGATTGCAGAATCATGTTGATGGACCGTTATCATGGCCGTGTATTGTAACAGAAAAGAAAAAGGAATGAGATTCTTCCACAGAAACATTGCAGCTTTGAGACTTTTCACTCTGTGAAATCAAATTCCAGAAATACATGTACAATAAATTGAGTAATGGATATTGATAATTCTAGATGTACCAATTAAAGCACACATTTTGATCATTTTCAACACTGTGTTTTGATACAAGTCTGGTTCTTTCAGCTATAGATTATCTTATGCATGAAGCATAAAAAAAGAAGAAACCATCTTCATCCCGAAACGCAGAACTGGGACGTTTGGAGAATTTCAGAACTCATTAAAACATTTTTTCAAGTGCTGTACAATGATCTAGGGAGGTATTCTGATCTACACCAGATGGCTTGAGTTCCACCAGAGTTAGGTTTATGGAACAGGAAGCAGTATATTTGCCAGACCCAGCCCTTGCGTGCGAACGGCTTCAGTTTTAACAAAAATATTTTTGATTATAAACACTTAATTGAAAAATTCCCAGGAAAATATCTCTAGAGAACATCATCTCCCATTGCTAGGAGTATTGGGAAACAAACTACCCTAGACCCAAATAGTTTGTCTGTCAGTGCTTTCCTTAGTTCATTTATAGTAGATAATGGGATACGCTCTGCAAAAAATGAAGAGATATTATCAGGGGGTTTACTCGTTTTTTAGAAACTCAGTACATGTTTTTTAGTACTTTAAAAGCCATTAGAAGAGTTCATAACTTCAAATTGCACTGAAGGGAGAAATAATAATCTGGATGGGTAAGTGTATAGGATGAGTAGTTTCACAAAAATGCAGACATGAATCGATTTCAAATCCTGCTTGGCTGAAAATGTGTTTGATGACTTTTCAGTCATTCTGACTACAAAGATGCATGTCTGTTTCTTTGAGTGATGCTATTTTTTTTATTATTATTACTGCAGCTCAACTTTATACTGGACTTAGGTGCCCTTCATACCACAGTGTCACAGAATCCCAGCTGAATATTACCATAATGCCATGGTATCCCAACTGAAGGTATGAATGCCCTCTAAAAGAAGTTACTGCAGTTTTCTCCCCCCTCCCTTTACAGTGCAGGAATGTCAAGTACAGAGGCAGCAACAGAGATATATGAATACCTCCATGTACTGCTTTCCCAAGGTCACAGCAAAGCCCTGCTCACAGCACTGCTGCTGTGACTCTAACACTGCCCAAAACTGAATTCCTTGCAGTGAAAATTTTTCTTGATATAGGTTGTGGGTTTTTTTGTTTGTATGGTTTTTTTCACCCATATTTAAACTGACAGGTTGGAAGGTTGTTACGATTTAAGGCAGAAAATCATTGGTTAGGACCCCCAGCTATAGGACACAGTGCAGTTACAGCAGCCCAAAGTTCATGAGCCACCCATGAGATCTTATGTGGGGTCCTCATCAGTGAAGAGACACACAATAGGGTCCCAGAGATATTCATCCTTCACCTCAGCCCTGAGCTGGTCTATGGATGGCAGTGTGGCTTTGTGATTTCTTTTCTTTGTCATTATCTACTCTTGTTTTGTCTCTCCTGGCTCACCATAAACACAAACAATCACCATGCCTCCCATGTTATTGGTCTCCCTCTTAAAGAAAAGGGGGAACAGCTGTTTA